TACCTTCATTAGCCAATATTGACTTCATTTTGCCGATATTTTGTTTAAAAAGTGTGCAAGTATATTCATGAGTGGAAACAGCCTGCAATTTCTGTCTTAGGCTATCCTTTCTGGTTTGATATCAAGGTTTTACTGTCTTCATAGAATGAACTAGGTATTATCCCTCCTATTTTATACTTTTGAAGAATTTATGTAAAATTAGAATTTTTTGTTCCTGGAAGATTTGGTAAAATTTGTCTATAAAATAAGCTGAGCCTGATGTTCACTTTATAAGATTATAAGCTATGATAAAATTACTATCAAAGTTATAGGATTATCAAATTCTTATTAGTTCAAGACAATGACATGCTTTAAGAAATGAGTCCATTTCTTCTAAATTTTCAAATTTATTACCGTATTATCTTCTTATAGTCTAGCCTCTGCTGGATCTACAGTTAAGATCTCCTTTTCCTTGCTAAGATTGCTTTACGACCTGTTCTCCTTCTTTCCCTTATTGGCTTGATTAATCATGCCAGAGAATGTTCTATTTTATTGATCTCTTTAAAGAAAAAAATTTTGGCTTTATTGATGCCTTCTCTATGGCAACTTTGTTTTTTATGCTTCTTCCTGCATGTACCTGCCACCTCCCCCTGCTTCACCGAGATATAATTGACATATAGTTGTAGCTTTATTTACAAATTTTTAAATTTAATTTTTCATGTCTGCTTTCCATTTGGGCTTATTTCTTTAATCAACTTTTAGCGTATTAATTTTCAACCTGTCTTCTCTGCTCATTTAAGCATTCAATACTAACACACTTCCCTGTAAGTACTGCTTTCACTGCAACCCACAAATTTGTGACGAGAAGTATTTTCCTTATTGTTCAATTCTGTCTTTTTTAAATTTCTGTTACAATTTCTTTTTTGACCCATGTGCTATTTATTAAGGAATGTGCTTTTAAATTTCTATATCTATGGCTGTTGGTGTTCATCTTCTGGTTACTTATTTCTAATGGAAAAGTACTGGGACTATTCCTGGGAAACTATATTCATCCCAAGAGGAAGCAGGGTGAGCCCCATAACACTCTTCACTAGTATCTGGCTCTGGCAAGGCAGAACTTACTCTCTCACCCAAAATAACTTTAAAACTGGAAAATATATGAACTGTTTCTGGCACAAGCTCATGCTAGTGGACAACAGAGGACAGGCGCCTGAGCAAAGGAAAGCTCAGGAGGTGGGCACCACACTCGCCCTGGCCTGTGGTCTGGGGCATTTTTCCCAAACCACAGCAAAGGGAAACAGAACTCTAGCAGACAGTGACATCTCACTGGGCAGAGGAAGTGCAGATAACAGTGTAGGTGCCAGGAATACATGGACAGAAAGTCCCAGAAATCTAGGGGCTCACTTCAAGTCCTTGGCTGAATCCTAAGCTGCCCGAGTGAGGATACTTTCTAAGGGGCTAGAAGGGATGGCCTGCTACAGAGGTGTGGGAAAGGGGCTGAGATGGTACAACACGAGGCCTCACAGTGCTACGAGACGCTGCAGTTCTAACACAGCAAGGGTGGACAGACGGGGGAACACTAGACCTCTCAGCTGAGACTGTATAAGGCCAAGTCCCGGGAAGAAGGATTTTGTCCCAGAATCAAGGCCCAGACTGAAGTATACCAATTCCAACCAAGAAAACTGACTTCTATAAAACCCAAAGATTGCTGGAAAAAAACACTAGACATCATTGTAAAAAAATAATAATACAAAATACAACAAAACAAAAACAGACAATTACAAACCAGAGACATCCTGCAGGGGAGGAGGAGGAGAGGGAATCAGAGGAGGGAGGGAGGAGCACAGGGGACTGAGGTGATGGTGCACGGGTGCATTGGGGAAGGAAATTTTGTGGGGACTACACCTGAGGGGTGGGGGGAAGCAAACATTGTTTAAAAATGAACAATGATTAAAAAATAAATTAAAAAATTTAAAAAGGGCCTCCCCAGTGGCGCAGCAGTTGAGCGCTGGGTTGCGAAGCTGCCTGCAGCCTCTGCAGCACCAGTTTCGATCCCCGGCTGCTCCCCGGCCACTGGAGGAGGGTCCCACATGGCGCGCAGACCTCTCCTGCCGCCCGCTGCTCCCCTCAGCAGTGTGCTTCGGTCCTTCTGCCTGCTCTGCTCCCCGCTCTGGCTCTGGTGAATTCTCTCCCCCTCCCGCGCTTCTGACTGTACCCAGTGCTTGTATAAATAAATAAATAAATAAATCTTTAAAAAAAAAATTAAAAAACACTTGTGAAACGTAAAAAAAAAACAACACCACCATTTAGAGAACATGTATGTAACATAAACTCTCTCCATATAACATCCATAGGGCCTCCCTGATGGCACAGGGGTTAATTAAAGTCTCAGAGCTATCAACCTATTGCCAGCCACTGTGGCATGAGTTCAATCTCCAGCCAGGGAGATACCCACATGGTGCAGAGACCTCTCCTGTGTTGCCCGCTGCTACCCTCAGCAGTGTATTTCAGTAAATCTGTCTGTTCTGTTCCCCACTCTGTCTCTGGTGAATCCTCTCACCTCCCCATACCTCTGGCCAGCACCCCAGTTCTTATATGCATAAATAAATAAATAAATCTTATATATATATATATATATATATATATATATATAAAACATCCACAATATCCAAAAAACTATAAAATCGGGCATCCCTGGTGGTGCAGTGGTTGAGTGCTGGGCTGTGAAGCTGCTCACAGCCTCTGTGGTGTCTGTTCGATCCCTGGCCTCCCGCAAGGGTCCCACAAGGCGCGCAGACCTCTCCTGCCATGCCTGCTGCTCCCCTCAGCAGTGTACTTCATCAGTCTGCCTGTTCTGCTCCCGGCTCTGGTGAATTCTCTCACCCTCCGTGCTTCTGACTGTACCCAGTATTTGTATAAATAAATAAACAAATCTTTAAAAAAAAAAAAACCACAAAACTATAAAATCACCAATTGGTAACGAATCCTGAAATAGTGACCTATAATAAAGGAGGTAAGTGTCCACAGAACTGAAGCCACCAATGACCTAGATGTTAGAATGAACAGGAAATTATTTTATAACTATCATAAATATGTTAAAGAACCTAGAAGGTAGACAAAATGGGTGAAAAGATGGAAGATTTCAACAGAGAAATGGGACATAAAAAAGAACCAAATGGAAATTGAAACTCTCACTATCTAAAATGAAAGCTGCACTATTTGGACTTAATAGCAGCAGCAGAGATTAGAGAATTCCACAAGTCAGTTTAGCAGAGTGGAAAAGCCTGAGACCAGTTAGCCAGGAGGTATGGATGTGCTCAGCGCCCAGAGTGGCTGCAGAACAGGCAGAGGGCTGGGCTCGAATGGGACAGGCTGTGACCTAGGGAGTTAAAGGTCATCTGAAGTACAGTAGTTACAACTGTGGGATCAAGCTAAGCAGGGAAGCGAGATTTATAGTTAACAGAGTGCTGAATAGCGAAGAATCACCAGTGGCCATAGAATTAGGGTCCCAATGTATCCAACCATTACAGCCATTACACCACCAGATAGCTGGGCAAATTCCCAGCACAGCCCTCGATGCACACAACCTAGCAGTGGGGCTGGGCAGGCTGCTTACAAAGCCTTCCCTTGATTCTGCTGCTTGTTAATGTTTGAGGACTGCTCTTCTAGAGCAAGAGCAGTGAGGAAGGTGGAGGGCCGAGTGGCATGCTGAAGTATTTTGGAGACGTCCCTTCACGAGATGACAAAGTTGGGACATGGCTAGGAGAACGAAAAACTGTGGCCAAGCAGAAGAAAAGATCATCAAAGCACCATGATCTAAGAAATAAGGCCGGTGTCAGACAGATCAAGAACATGGACACTGAATTCAAGTGCCGAGAGGAGAAAGAGACTGTTGATAAGGGGTTGTGACACAAAGACAGTGGATGAACGAAACCAACAAGGTCACTAGAGTGAGATCTGACAGCTGCCCTTCCAAAGAGAGAGGCTGTAAGAGAAAAGAAGAAAAATAGTTTCTGCAACTAGCAGAGTCACTCTGATAGTCTTACTGTGGCCCTTCTGATCCATCTGGAAATTCCCATTCTCAACCAGTCCCCCTTGGTGGCTGGCCCTGCTAGCTTCCTGCCAGCATGCATTCTCTCCTCGCTTGCTGAGAACCCCAATGACATCTGTTTAAAAAGCTACATTTCCCAGCCTTCTTTGCATTTAAGACCATGAGTTGTAGTTCTGTCCAACAAAACATAAGCATAATGGTCAGGGATTCTAAGAAGGCAACATCTGCGAGGACATAAACCCTTTACTCTGCTGCTCCCCTTCTTCCTGCCTGGAACCCTGACAACATCATGGAATCCCCACACCAACCTTCAACTTCACTCCCTACCTCCTGAATTCTTCTTCAGAAAGAAAATCAAAGAGCTAACTTGTTTAAATCACTGTTGTTCAAAATTTCCTTACATATGTACCATATCAGGTCAGTCCCTAACAAGTCAGGCCCTTAAAGTGGGGGTCTTTACTCATGGTTCACCTCTACCTACTGGGCACACCCCACGGGCCTTTCCTTCTCTGGCCACAAAGCAGCACCACACCATGCACTACACTACTCCCACAATCCAACCTCCCCTTCCCATACCTCCTATTTTGGCAGTGTTTGTCTTCCTGCCAGGAAGGACCAAATTTTATTCACTTTTGTCTTACACCTCACTCTTAGCAGCTAGAGCAAGGTTATGTAAACTATACTCAATTAATGTTTGCTACGTTAAATCAGTAAGAACCTTACTTCCAACATCCCAACTGATTACCTAATGACCTTTATGTCCTTGCCAATAGTTTTCCTTTATTGAAGATTTCCAAGTTTTCTGCATCTCACCTTGCTCCTAATGATTAAAAATCCTAACAGTTCCCTAATTCCATCCAAGCTCCTGCCTTCTGCAGAAGACAAGACCAAAGGAGGATGGCCAAATTCAGCCAAACTCTGCAGAATGAAAGCAAAGCACCTTTGATCACGGTGAAGCCAGAAGACATACCGGCAGCTCCTGGGGTCTCTCAGCCACGTCCTGGGTCCTCTTGGAAGAACTTTTGCTTGCATTCACGTACAATTTTCGTTTGTGGAAGAGCTTCCCGTTCAGCTTCTGTATTGCCAGTGCCACATTCTGCACGGAGCCCAGATCCACAAAAGCAAAGCTGCCAAGGAAGGAGAGGGAGCAATTCCAGGCACCCATTAGAAGAGAACTGAAGGCACCAAGCTTGAGAAACACAGTTGTGACCCCACACAGACATTTGGGTCAATGATAGACCACATGCGTGAGGATGGTCCTGAGAGGTCTAGCCTAGACTAGGTGTGCTGTAGGCTAGCCCATCGAGGTGGGTGTGAGCACACTCTATCATGTTTGCCATATGACCAACCCTGGCGTTAAGTCTGCTCCCCACTTGCAGCAGCAGAGGAGGGCCTGTCCCACACACACAACAAGCCACACTAGAGTCCGGACTTGGGATGGGCAATGGACAGTCTGGGCATTTGGAGATCAGAAGACACAAGGGGACGGTTACCATACACCCCAAGGTTACACTCAGGCATCCTTCATGCCATCCATCCCCCAAAGTTCAAAGCAACTTTATTGCTTTGAAAAGAATAAAGGGAAAATATGAGTAGACCCAGTTTTCAGGAGTAACCCAGGCTGAGGGAGTACAGTAACTTACTTCAAGCCAGAAAACCAAACGAGGACACAACCCAAACAAACCCAGGTCTCTGGACTTTAAACCAAGGTTGTATTGGCAAGGCAGTACGGGCTGCTGGGTCAGAGGGTTAAATATGGACAGGGGGGTTCCCAAATGTCACTTTGCCAAGTCACAATGGGTGTGGAAGTTGGGAGTTGTTAGCTAGACTGCAGTATCAGTGTATCCGTAAAATGGACAAGAGGAAAGGAGTTGCTTCCCAAAAAAAACAAAGGAAGAACTGTCATTACCATTTGCAGCCATTCTGGATTTTGTGGACATGGAGAGGGTTAAAGTCCTTTAGAAGACTCCAGATTTCCTCCTACAAATGGCAGAGTATAAATGAGAAAGAGACCCAGAGACAGAACTTACAACCAGTTCTCAAGGTTCTAGATCCCCAACCACCTACACTAATCAACTGACCATGTTTACTGAGAATCTACAGTGTGCTGCAGTATGTGCCAGGTTCTGTACTAAGTGATGCAAACACAGAGACCAGAAAGACACAAGCCCCACCTCCAGATGAAGTACAACAGTGGAGTGGGGCTGCAGGCAAGACCGGGGTAAACCCACCATTTCATAACAGGCGATCAATTCCCTGGGGAGGGAGCGCAGCCAGCTATAGGAGCACTTAGTTAAACCCAGATTTGGAGCTAGAGGCGGCAGTAGGGCAGACTGCCAGGAGGAAGTGGCTTGTAATTGATAAGGAATCTAGGCTATCTCCCCTTCATCTGCCTGGGCAGGGAGGCTTGCTTTACCTAAACCCACTCTGGAGAGCTGACCACCCTTTTGTATTCAAGGCAACTGCTTTCAGTTCTTCCATCAAGCATTCAGTCAACATGCTGCAGCCTTACGCTGAATGGACCAGTACCTATGGATTGAATTCAGCCTAAGCCCTGCACTCAGAGCTTCCAGTTTAGCAGGGATACACACAGGTGGTCTGTGAGGGGGGCGGGCAGGGTGAGTCAGAGTAAGAGGAGGACAGGAAAGCACGGGGAGGGAGATGAGTTCTTCTGTGGTCTCTGATCTAGATGCTCAGATCCACACCTACTTTACACCTCTCCCCACTTTCCTCAGCATAGCCTGGCCTCCATGCAGGGAAGGCCACGTCCCCCTCCCTGGTAATTTCGCCACATCTACCCTCAACTCCCTCTCCCTTCCTGGTGCACCCCAGGCCCATTCCATTCTGCTGGCTTGGCCCTGTTCCCTACACACAGGCCTTCCTGGACTTGAGATAGCGTCCTTGCAACCCCTATGCCCTTTTGAGCTACACCCTATTTTTCCTCTTTTCTGCCAAACTTGTAGAAATAGTCGTCTCCACCTAATGCCTCCATTTCCTCTCCGCCCACTCCCTCCCGATTGCCTGCAGTTTGGCTTCTGTGCCTGCCCTACTGAAAGAGCATTCTGGAAGGTCACAGATGCGCTCCCACTGCCAATGGCAACTGCTTTTCTCCAGGCCTCCAAGCTCAGCAACTACCTGTACGTCTGGGTACTTCCTCCTCCCTTAGCTCCCACAGCACATTACACTTGTAAATTCCACAACTGTGATGAAAACCATTTTTTCCCTAGGAAACTCTATTTCGGAAAAATGTGTATTTATACCATCTCCTTTTAAAAGTGGCTTTTACCAATCTAAAGTCACTTTGTTGGCTTAGGAAAATAGAAATACATTATGTATAACTCATTTTTCCCAGTCTTCATGTTTATATTACATTTAAATTCAAATTTTCTAATTTGCTTTACTTTTAAATATTTAATGCTTATTACACATGAATCAACAAGATGCTGAGCAACAAGCAATTTGTGAGAACAAGCAATATGTGCTTAGCATTTTCAGTTTATAAAGTACTTTCATATACCTTATTCCATTTGATCTTAAAACCACCCTGTCAAGTGCACATTATTATTGTCCTCATTCTCAGAGGCATAAAACAAGGATCAGAGAGGTTAAGTGAGTTCCTTAAGATGACACAGCCCATTTGGAGTAAAGATTTGTACACACGGCTTCTAATCCTATATTCTGTTCATTATCTCAAGCAAAACCATAGCTGTTTTCACTTCAGGTTTTATCACCATCAAAATAAAAGACAGTTATTTAATAATTTTCTATCTTCTATAGCAGGTATCAAGAAATCTAAGCCTTGAGCCAACCCCAGCATACCACATTTTTGTAAATAAAGTTTTATTGAAACAGTCACACACATTCCTTTCCTTATGGTCTATGGCTGCTTTCATGCTACAAACGCAGAGTTGTGTGTGACAGAGGCACGTGGCCTGCAAAGCATATTTACTATCCGACCCTTTGCAACGCTTGCCAACCCCTCTTCTAGAGTGGTGGTTTGAAAGTCTCACTGCAAATGAGGTTCAGCTGGAGAGTTCCTTTTCTTCCTTTTCAAGTACGGATGCCTGGTCCACCCCAGGTGGTCAAAATTGGAACCTCTGGGGGTGGGATCAAATCATCAATATTTCTTAAAAGCTCCCCCAGACAATAGTAAGTAGCCAAGATGGATCACTCCTGTGTACAGTAGCAAGCAGATTCAGGAAGCACTGGTTTTCAAAAAATGTCCTCGAAGGTGAGAGCGCCACCACCAACGCATAAATACAAAAAATGCCATGCCACCACCTTTCACATGGGACTCATGCCCTAACTGTGACACTGTTGCACCGTTTAATTTGTTTATTAATTTTTTTGATGGATTAGAGATTTCACGAGTCTTGGTACATTAGGCTAAAATTGCTGCCTGCCCCTTAGGGAAACTTTCACATCTCATTTTAAATAATGAAAATAATCTCTTTGATTTTTTAATTATAAAAGCATTAAATGTTTATTAGAGAAAAGTTAAAAATCACAGATAAGCAAAAGAAAAGTATCATCTGTAATTCCTACCACCAACTCTGCTCTACCTTTAGCTTTGTAACCTATTTCACTTAATCATTACCAAATAATACCTCTAAAACATTCAATCATTAGCAAATAATTATTTAATCAATCATTACCAAAATCATTACCAAATAATACCTCTAAAACATTCCATCAATCATTACCAAAATAATACCTCTAAAACAGATATAGTGTTATAAGGCAATATCACCTCTATAATTTTAAAAATCATTATCAAAATCATCATTTAAGGGATCTATAGCCTGTTAAGTATGGCACCACTACCTGAAGTAGGTACTTTACTATTGTTTGCAAAATAATGATTTTTCTATCATTTCTTCTGCATTTATAAGCTAGAGTTCTCACTAAAGAATTTTCATCCAGTAGGGTCATTTGTTTGCATTGAAATAGCATTTATGTTGGAAAAGTAGAATACATATTCTTTCCCTTTATCAGGTGTTATATATTCATTAACTATTGTCTTTGTACCTTCAACTGTATCTACTGAATTGTATTTCTTTCTCCTTTCCCTGGGAATTGTTACAGATTTTTTCCGTCAAGGTGCATTTCAATCATGTGCAGTCATTAGTATTTCTGATGTCAAACTGTCCTATCTTTGGCCGATAGTACCTGCTCTTCTTTGCTTGTTCTTGTGTCCTTTTATTTTCACTTGGAAACTTTCAAACATACTGTATATAGAAAACAGTATAACAAATTCCTATATAGCTCAGCAATTCTCAACTCATGAACACTCCCATTTCATCTACACCTTCTCCCTGCCAGTAGACCAATCTGAAATAAACCTCAAACGCCTCATCATTTTATCTGTAAATATTCCAGCATGGCTCGGCCTCTAAACACAACTTCCCCGTCATTTCAAACAAATCACAAGAACCTTTTCTGACGTTGGCATAACACCTCCAAATCTGAACCAATCATTTCTATGAGGAGGCCTGGTTCTGCTCAGGGATAATGGTGTTTAGAGTACACAATCTGGAGCTCAGAGTGTTTATTGCGACTTGGTCACCAGCGCACTAAGGACTCTCAATATGTACCTTTAAAGAGCAAAACAACCACACTACATGCATACCAATTCATATATAAGAGCTATAAGTAGTTTTTAATTTAACTTCTTTGATTTTATTTTTATATCTTTACTCTTATGTGGAAAATTCCTAACATGAATCTAATTACTTGTTTTATCCTACATTACATATGTAACAGGTCCAAATAACAATACCATGATTATTACCTACAACAAAATTAGTGAGTAAAGTTCAAGATTTCTTTGCAGTTCTTTTTTACCCCTGTATTATACCCTACTGAGGGTATATAGCCAAAACTCTGTATTCAAAGGGCAATTTGAATAAATCTCTCTGACAGCAAACAGGTTATATCACCAAATCATTTTCAGTTTTCAGGCAGTACTTTTTTCCTGCATGACTTTGATTTATTTATGAAAATATTTATAAATTCAAAACAATAATACAAGGTTATTCAGATATTGTGCTTCCCTCTTCCTCCTGTCTCCTTCCCTTTTCCATTCCTTCCCCCATAAACACTGTAATTCCTTCATATTCTTCCACTATTTAGTTCTGCCAATTTAAAGATACTCTATTCTCTTTCTCTCTTCTGATATAAAAGATTTGTTTTGTTTCTAGGTATATATTTAAGGTACAGCCAAAATTATCTGATGACAGATGGAATGTGAAGTGTGGGGGAAATGTAAGGTGTGAAAGGAGAATATTTCTCAGGTTTTGGGCCTAAGTACAATGATGTTGCCACTTACTGAGATGGGGAGGAACAGGCAGGGTCTACCAGGACCTCAGTTTTGGACACATTAAGTTTGAGATGACTATTATTTATCCAAGCAGAGATCACAAACAAGCAACAGAATACACAGGTCTAGAGTTCAGGGGAAAGGTACAAGTGAAAAACATTGATAACTGAAGTTATAATTTTCTACAATCAATGTCATCTGCATTAATGATGCCCTTCCTTCCTTCCTTCCTTCCTTCCTTCCTTCCTTCCTTCCTTCCTTCCTTCCCTCCCTCCCTCCCTCCCTCCCTCCCTCCCTCCCTCCCTCCCTCCTTCCCTATTCTATGTCTTTCTTTTTCCTGACCTTAATGCACTAACCAAAATGACCAGTTCAAGGCTGACAGAAATAGCAATAGCCAGTATTCCTATCTTGTTTCTGACCTCTAAGGGAAAGCTATCAAATTCATGTCATTAAGTATTGTTTGCTGTCCATTTTTAAGTCCTAGATCGATCTAGAATACATTTGAGGTAAAGGTCCAGTTTCATTTTTCCTGCATGGATAAGCAAATGTCTCAGAAACAGTTTGTTGAATAGTCCTTTCATTACCAATGATCCGCAATGCCACCAGATCTAGACATACTCACAAGTGTTCACATGAGTGTGGTCTAGTACTGAGCTTTCCATTCTGTTCCAGAAATCAGCTACTCTCTAGCACTGCACCCACACACCAAGGTTATCAGAGCCATTGCAGAGAATTTGCTCTCTTCTCTGTGCCCTCTTTTCTTCTGGGACGTTTCTGTTTCATGTAAGTTTTTGAATCAGCTATCAAGTTCTTTGGAAAACCTTTGGCTATTTTGATCAAAATGGTATTAAATCTATAGATCAATTTAAGGATTCTAAACCTAAGTCTTTCATCCGTAACATGGTATTCCTCTATTTATTTAAGTCATCCTTAATGTCTTTCAATAAAGTCTCATAATTTTCTGTCTATATGCCTTCCATACTTTTAATAGATTTATTTCTATCTCCTTGTATTTTTGGTTCCTCATTGGGAATGAAAGGACTATTCAAATGACTTGCATATTTAGCTTATATTCAACCAGCCTAATACTCAATTCTAACATGTGGAAGATTCTTTTTGATTTTCAACCTGTATTTTTATTCATGGATTTGGGTTTTAATTTTATCAAAGGTTAATTTTTAGCTTGAAGGTTCCCAGACCATTAGTAATATGAATTTAAACCCCAATATGAAAACAGGGTCATTGTTATAGATTCTTGGGGAGACTGATCAGCCAACCAGCCCCAAGTCCAGGCTAAGACAGATTATCCTCAACACCACTCTGGGAAGGTATGCAAAGCTTATGTGGTTCACACTTGGAGTGAGGGTCCATTTCTACAAAAGCCCTGCTTTAGCAGTAGTGTCAGTGGTGTTGCCTCCTCACAGAGGTCAAAGGTGTCATCTCCTGTCCAAACATGACTATTCTCATTCAAACTTTCTTAGGATTCAACTGTGCATTTTAAAAAGTTTCTCTTATATGGTAGCCTCTATTTCCAAGTATGTTCTCATGAGAGGTTTTTTTGGTTACCTGATCTCTCATAATTATGGAGATATTTGAGAGTTTTTAAGTAATTTTGCATCATATAGGTTACTTGTATACTCAGCATAATCAGTTTAAGAAATTGGTGAGTGTAGAAAGAACCCTAGTGGGTTCAACTAGTGAGTGATTGATTTCAAAATTTACTACCAAGCTACAGTAAACAAATGTGGTACCAGCATAAAAATATACAGATATGGGGCCTCCCTGGTGGCGCAGGGGTTAAAGACACAGCACTATCACGCTACAGCCAGCCACTACGGCGCAAGTTCGATCCCCAGCCTGCCAGGGAGCTGACACACATGGCCCAGCAGACCTCTCCTGTCTCACCTGCTGCTCAGCAGTGTATTTCAGTCAATCTGCCTGTTCTGCTCCCCACTCTGTCTATAGTGAATCTTCTCACCCTCCACCTCTGGCCTACACCCCAGTTCTTGTATGCATAAATAAATAAATCTTTAAAAAATATATACAGATATGCAGATTAGTGGAATAGAAATTGGGATCCATAAATAATTGGCTACATTTATGGTCAGCTGATTTTTGACAAGGGTGCAAAGAAAATTCCTTGGGGAGAGAATAGCAAAATTAACATGTAAATAGCATTTAACAAATGCTGCTGGGACAACTGGATATCTACATACAAAAGAATAAATTCACCCCTACCTCCCACTATATATAAGAACTAATTTTTAAAAGACTGGCAATCAAAACATAAGAACTCAAACTATCAAACTCCAAAGAAAGCATAAGTGTTCACCTTTGTGACCTTCGACTAGGTAATACTCTTATACATGATACCTAAAGTACAAGCAACCAAAGAAAAATAGAAACCTAGACTTCATCAAAATGTAAAACTTTTGTGTGTCAAAGGATACTATTTTAAATGGTATAAGAAAACTGAATGAAAGAAAATATTTGTAAATCATGTATGTGCAAGAGACTTATATCCAGATTACATAGGGAACTCTCACAGCGCAATAATAAAAAGACTAACCAATTACCAAAAGGATCTGAATAGATATTTCTCCAAAGATATACAAATGGCCAATAAGCACATGAAAATATACACATTAGTCACTAAGGGAACACAAATCAAAACCTCAGTGACATACCACTTCACATCCACTAGCAAGCTATAATCAAAAAGACAGACAACAGGCTTGGATGAGGAAGTAGTAAAACTAGAATCCTTCTGCTGATGTGACTGTAAACGGTATGGCTGTTCTGGAAAATAGTTTGACAGTTCCCCCAAAAAAATAACTTATAGAGTTATCATGTGACCCAAGAATTCTACTCCTTCAAAAAAAAAAAAAATTACACTCCTAAGCTTATGCCCCAGAGAACCAGACACATGTTTACACAAACACTTATACACCAAGGTTCAGAGCAGCACTATTCAGAATAGCAAAAAGTGGAAGCAACCCAAATAGCCATCAAACAATGGCTAAGCAAACTGTGGGGTATCCATATATTATTCTACCTTTAAAGACAATGAAGTACTGAGACATGCTGCAACATGGATAGACCTTGAAAATATGCTGCAAAGAGAAAATCCAAAATGCCACATGCTGTATGAGTCCCTTTCCATGAGTCCAGAATACAGACAGAAACTTGGCGGTTGTCAGGAGCTGGGAGAAAAGGGGACGGAGGAGCAGCTGGCTGCTAATGGATACAGAGTTTAATTGGGGCGGGGGGGTAATGTAAGTATTCTGAAATTAGTGGTGATGGTTGCACAACCTTGTGAATATACTAAAAGTCACTCAATTGTATTCTTACAAAATAGTGAACTTCATGGTATGTGAAGAATTTCAATATAAATGTCAATGCAAGGGAAAGTAAAAAAAAAAAAATTGCTGGCTATTGTGGATCATTTCTGATCCAAGACTTTCATCTTCTACCAACACCAATGAAACTGCTGCAGGCTAATTAGTTGGTTTGTAAGTAGGGTAAAGTCTCAGTTATTTCCCAGTTCTCTAAAAGGCATTGTTATTGTCGGATTTTTTTTTTTCAAATCCTACTTCTTTAGCTCAAGTCTTTCCTATGAAGCTAGTCTAAGCCTGGATGTTGAAAGTAAACACTGGCGGGAGGCTTTCCTGTGGAGGGGACAGGCCGAAAGGTCACCCACACCACTGCTGAGGAAGCACCAGAGGCTGGGCTTTGAAATAAGGTCTCTGGGAGAGAGAAGGTGGAGCTTCTCAATACCCCTAGTGTCACCCCTAGACCACTGTGGGAATAGTGCCGAGAACTCCTGTCCCCATTTCACTGCCAAATAACAGGCTGCACCAGCCTGCCAGGAGGGGAGAAGGAATCTACCCAATACTCTCTTCTATCAGGTGCAAGAATCTCCTAACCCACACCTTTGACTGAGTATGAATTTCATTCATTGGGTCACGACGAATTACTTCATTCTCCGTGTTGTAATACAGTTTTTCTTTTCTTTTTGTCAAATAAAAACATAAGAGGTCGAGCTTTTATTATCGTGAGTTATTTACATGTCTTACTGGTTCCATGGCTTTGGACTTGCGGGCAACTGGACATGGAATCAACTCGCAGCTGCCCGCTGACCAGGTCTGTGCACTGGCTGAGGGACTGGCCCATGTGGAACTTGGGCTGCCTCATCTCCAAGAGGAGACACTACCAGCACCCCCATAAATTCTTAATGTAAGAATTTAATAAATCCACACTAGGGCCTCCCTGGTGGCACAGTGGTTGAGCGCTGGGTTGCAAAGCTGCCCGCAGCCTCTGCAGCGCCAGTTCGATCCCTGGCCACCGGGCGAGGGTCCCACATGGCGCGCAGACCTCTCCTGCCGCCTGCTGCTCCCCTCAGCAGTGTATTTCGTCCATCTGCCTGTTCTGCTCCCCACTCTGGCCCTGGTGAATTCTCTCACCCTCCCACGCTTGTGACTGTACCCAGTGCTTGTATAAATAAATAAATAAATCTTAAAAAAAAAATAAATCCACACTAAGGAAGCATTTAGCCTATTTCCTGAAGCATACCTGGGATAATACTACAATAAATAGTGTATAAGGAGTAGGTACAACTTGGGTAGAGATTTGGTTTAGCTGATTGATTGGCAAGGGGGCACAGAGCCCAGGACATCTTCGGGAATGTCTGGGAGGCAGCAGGTTCCTCTTGTCCTTCCAAGATACAACTCCTTGAGGGCTAGGATTAGGTTATTTTCTTTAAAGCATGGAGAACTTCAGTCACATTGTTTGGTTCAAAAAAGTAAATAAATAAATAGTCACCCTGCTTCAATTTGATAAACTGCACTCCCATTTTCCTTTCAGCCATGCTTCAAATAGACTTATTACATATTTTAAGTATGTGTCGTCCTCTAATTATTTCAGGTCTGTTCGTCTGACCTCCCCAGTTAAACAGTAAGATTCCTGGAATCAAAATACTTTCTACTCTGCGAGTCCACAGCTAAATGACTGACCCGACCCATTCAAAATGGAATGGGCGTCTCAGTGGCTGAGGCCTGATGCTCCTGGTGATGAAGGACCTGCAGCTGAGTGCTAACGAGGTCCCTTCCTAAAGATGCTGCCTCACCGCGGCCCCTCCGTCCAAGGTGATACGCAGGGCGACCAGCCGTCCATGTGACAGGGGAGTGCACCCGCAGGCCTCTTGGGCCAGGCCTGGGGGAGTCCACGACAGCCCTTGACGTGAGCAGCTGGTCTCCCCATGCCCCGCCAGTGACTGCTCACACATGCTCAGCCCTAAAATGTCTTCATAAGTGACAAAATTAAGTTACTGGCAGGTAAATTAGCCACATGGGGAGAACAAGAAGATAAGCAGGTGTTCACAGAGAGTGAAGAATACCTCAGAGATGTCCAGCGGAAGATTGCCAACATATACCTGTGTCTGTCTTCTCTTGATTCCTAAGAAGAAAAACCACATTGAAAAGGCAGATGTGTGGTAAATGGATTCAGAGGAGTTAGAACAGGTGAGATGGGACACAATTCGTTCAATGTCAAACATTCGCCTACACATGTCCCTCCGGGAACGCTGGCCTGTTATGCTGTGCCTGGTCATTCAGCGGTGGGTATCAAGATTAGAGAAGAGGCCAGGGTTGAGTGCTGGCCTAGACATCACAGCCTGCGGGGGGAGGGGCGCAGAGGCTGTCAGCACACCAGGAGACCAGCCCTTCCTTGAAGTATCAGGAAGAGTGTCCACACTGTGTGATGGGGTTAACATGAAGCTGAGGGAGGGACAAGAGGAGGTGGACAGGAAGGGGGTGCAGGCAAAGGGGCCAGCACATGCACATGCATGAGGCATGGACACTTAGGACTTGGTGTGCTGGGCAACCCAGAGCCCACAATGGGAAAAAAAAGGGACAGTCCCTTATTCCACAGGAAGTTCCAACATCAAGGAGTCCAGAGAACCACTCCACACACCTGCCCTTCTGGGGGTTCCTGATCTGCTCTGCCTGGTTACCTGCATCCCAGCTGCTCCTGGGCATCAGAGCAGCCTGGTCTGTGGTCCAGGAGCGCAGGTCCCTTCCCAGGAAAAAGACAAGTTTCCAGGAAAAGGACAAAGCTTGTGGGCCAACCATTGACCTGGGGTGTGCAGAAGGAGCAGTGGCAGTGATGAGAGCAGGACAGGGAAGCCCAGAAGACTGGGGTGGTGGTTTGCAAGTGGAATATCGGTGGGAGAGCCACACCTAAGGGAACAATTCCATACAAAGATGCCCACTGATGTAAGAAAATTAAATAAAAAGATAGCCTTGCATAATAACTTTTCATTTAAACCAAGATATCCAAAATATTATTTCCACAGGCAATCAATATAAAAATTTTCATGAGATATTTTGCTTTCTTGTGTGCTAAGTCTTAAAAAGCTGGTGTGCGTTACACATCTCAGTTTGGATATACATTTTCAATAGCTAGGCTGAATTTTAGTCCTACCAAAGCAATAAACTTGTATTTAGTGGGGAAAAAAATTAAAGACTTGCTGCGCTGGGGAAACTGCACGTAGTCAGTGGGGTTGATGGCACACTGCAAGTGGGTGAGTGGAGAGAGGAGGCAAGAAAGGCTGGCAAGGTTAAAGGCTAGAAGCGCAGAAGCAGCCCCGCAGCTCACACGCCTCTCACTGGCTGTGAGAAGCAGGTAAAGGGTTTTACTCAGACAGGGGACAGCAACACAGCTGGGGTTTAAAAGACTGTTTCAGACATGGAGGAGGGTGACATGGAAGAAGATAAGTATTAAAGAGAAAAAACAGCAAGTTGAGCGCCATGCTGTGAAGCTGTCCGCAGCCTCTGCAATGCGGATTCGATTCCCAGCGGCCAGGGAGATTCCCACATGGCGTGGCAGACCTCTCCTGTTGCGCCCGCTGCTCCCCTCGGCAGTGCTTTTGGTCTGTCTGCCTGTTCTGCTCCCTGCTCTGTCTCTGGTGAATCCTCTCACCTTCCTGCACTTCTGGCCTGTACCCCAGCTCTTGTAGCAAATGCAATGATGTGTGAGAATCTTCGAGGGGGCAGGACATGGTGGCTAATGGGAGCAAGAGTGGAGTCCAGGTGGACCCCAAGGTTCATGCCTAAACAGAAACTGACTACAGGTCTCCCCCATTTTTCAAACTTTCACTATACACCACTTCCCTTTTATGAAAGACCTACCTGTTCTCATTAACCAAAAGAAATCTGAAGAAGATTCCTGATTTTACAGTAAAGGGTGAAAAGGGAAAAACAGCATTCAGTGTCGATTCCAGAAGCATTCTGGAGGCAGTGTGCACCCCAAGCAGCAAGAGATGCCCCTATGGTCCTTCCCCCAGGAACTACTTTAAATAGACTGTATACATATTTATCTTATTCTGCTTTTACTACATTAGTGTTATTTTAGGTTGTACATGTTGTTTGATACAATTTGGCAGGCTCTTTTTTGGGCTTGGGAGTACTCAAAAATGTTTGCCTATACATTATGGCAATTGCTACTTTGCTTTTATGCCATTTTGATTTCTTTTTTTTTTTTAATAGAGGCATGTTTTATTTATTTATTTATTTGTTTGTTTTTGTTTATACATGCACTGGGCACAGTCAGAAGCGTGGGAGGGTGAGAGAATTCACCAGAGCCAGAGCAGGGAGCAGAGCAGGCAGAGGGACCGAAGTACACTGCTGAGGGGAGCAGCGGGTGGCAGGAGAGGTCTGCGCACCATGTGGGACCCTCCTCCAGTGGCCGGGAGCAGCCGGGGATCGAACCGGCACCACAGAGGTCGCGGGCAGCTTCGCATCCCAGCGCTCAACCGCTGCGCCACCGGGGAGGCCCTATGCCATTTTGATTTCATGGGAATGCTCAACTTTAGCATAGCAGAGGAAATTTAAAGACTAATTTGGATCCAGATTAGACTGAGGTCCCAGCACCAACCAACCAACCCCCAGGCTAACTCACGTGGAGATTTCTGCTCCTCCAACACTCCATTCTTCTCAAATAGTTTAGTAGAGGTTCGGAAGTCACCGCTGCTCCAGGACCTATCAAACACAGATCTCAGGTTGCACCTCCCAAGCCCCATCTCCACAAAAGGAGCTTGAGCATAAGCAACTGGGTCCTGCACAAGCCTCCATGCCTACTTCCCAATGGATGGGTTCCCTGCCTCCTCCCAGATTCAAAGCTCCAAGCCAGGAAGCCCTCCACTACAGAACCTTTTTAATCGCTAAGAGTTAAAGCACATTTAGGGTTAGAATTGACAGGCATGAAATTGGGCGGGAGGATTTCTAAGCTTTGGGCATGTTGAGGCAGGAACAGGAGAAAGAGAATGCTTTGGGGTGGAAGAGGGTGAGTTTATCAGAAAAAGAAAGCAACTTACATGCTGTTGTTTCTGTCCAACAGGATCTCCTGTAAGGTCAACCAATCAGTTAGCAGAATACCAGAACATTCACCACCACATAAAGACTGAGTAGGTACTGTGACAGGCAGAATCAGCACTCCCAGAGTGAGTGGTCTCTTCTAATCCCCAGAATGTATTAAGGGTTTTAGACATCATTTCTAAATGTTGGTGGGGGATGGTGTTTCCCCACACCAAGTAATTCCTCAATACCAGCTGGGTATCCTACAATTCAACTCAATTTTGACACTATCTACCCAGAGTCCACAGGAATTGCTCTACCTACTTCAGATGCCAATCACAAATCCAGGTTATCACCTGTGCTTCTGATAGACTGACCACAGATGGGAAATTCAAACCACCCCCTCCTTGGTGTCCATCAGTTCGCTACAGTGGCCCACAGAACTCAAGCATTCACTTACTAGATCACTGGTTTATTATAAAAGGATATAACTCAGGAATGGCCATAGGGAAGGGATCCATGAGGCAAGGTATGAAGAAAAGGATTCCATGTCCTCTCCAACCATCCCAGAAGTTCTTCTAACCCTGTCCTTTCGGGGTTTATGGCAGCTTCACTACAGAGTCACTGCTAATTAAATCATTAGTCATTGGCAATGACAGCTGACCCTTGGGCGACTCGGGTTTGAACTGCTGGTGTCCACGTATACACAATTTTTTTCTACCTTCCAGTTCTGCATTCACAGATTCAGCCAATCTCAGATGTAAATTGATTGGATCCATGGATTTGGGGCGCATGGGTGGCTGTTATACTTACATTTCTGAGTGGGGAAGGAGGATGCCCTTAATATCTGCCCTGTTCAAAGGTCAACTGCAAGTCAACTTCTAGCCCCTTTCCCCTACCCAGATGTTGAAAGCCCCAACCCTGGAATCACTTGCTTGAGTCCTCAGGTAACTAGCCTCCAAGCCTTGGTTACCTAGGGCTTTTGCCTAATAGCCTTATTAACATAACAAAAGCCAGCTCCACCACTGTTAGCACTTAGGAAATTCCCAGGGTTTTAGATCTGCCCCCCCACCCCCCCAAAAGGGAGGAAGACCAACATGTTACTTTTTTATAAATCACAATGTCACACTTGTATGGTTACCCAGCAAGGGGAATTAAGGTTGGTAATCTGCTGACCTGAAAACAGATTATCCTGGTGGCCCAGGTGTCCTCAAAAGTGGGACCAAATAGAAAACGAATATAGGTACAAGAACAACTTTAAATTCACACCTACCTCTGCAAAGCGGCCAGCCTGGGGAGAGAACTAGACTTTTGGAGTTAGAAGCAACTCTTTGGAGTTAGTCCAGCCCAGAGACTTTGGCACACGTTTTATTTATTAAATGGCAATCAAAGACCTCTGCCGTCAACCACCAGAGTGCAGTGAGAGAATGTGCTTAATGTGAGAGAATGTGCTGAAGAGAATGTGCTGTGAGAAGGTGCTGAAGAGAATATGCAGTGAGAAAATGTGCTGAAATGTGCTTGTTCACCTGCAGTGAACAAGAGCGCGATTAAATACTCACCATTGCACATTTTTATGGATTTCTTACTGGCACTTTCCTACCACCCTATGGATTATCATCTTCCCATTTTACAGCTGGGATGGCTAACACTCAAGGACATCAGATGATTTGCTTAAAATCATAAAAAGCTATTGAGATAGCTCAGGTCTGTGACTCCACAACCTTGGTTCTTTTCCTACAGATAAGAAGGCTGTCAAAGTCATTTTGAAGGGATTTTTTTTACTTTACTTTAGGAAGAACAAATTAAAACAATAAAATATAAAGGAAAATGGTAACTCCTCTAAATTGCTCCCAGCTGTGAGTGAAAACAACAGTTTTAGATGCAACTAAATCTTAACAGAACTAAAAATGGTTAAGAGAATTAAGGCTGAGATATGGATGGATAATGGGGAAGTTTGTGGGCAGAACCAGGGCTCTGGGTGTTAGTCCCACTTTCCTGATAATCCCTGAAAAGACTATAGGCTTCTGGAATAGGGCAGGCACCAATACCTCCCAAGCAAATGCCCAGCATAAATGTGGTGAAGAGGCTCTAAGGGCCTGCCAGCTGCAGCTACTAAACAGGTTATAACTGCGTCCTTGAATCCTCATAGAAACCCTAAGAGTTAGGTATCGTCACCCCATTTTACTGATGAAGTCCAGGGAGATCAGACAGTAACCTGTTCATTTGTCCAAGATCACACTATGCTCATAAATGAAAAAGTCTGTTTTGTTTTTAATCCAGACTCTATGCTTCCAAAGTTATAAGCTCCCACTCCACTGCTAGTTTAGAGAAGCATCTTAATTTGTTTTTAAAAATGAAAAGGAGAAAAAAAGACAAAAATAAAGTCTTCCAATTCAATAAGACAAATAAACCAATTAAAAAGCGAGCAGTCTGATACATTTGTCCAAATGACCAACAATTATGTTTACTATCTTTAACAAATAGGGAAAGGCAAATCAAACCCTGAGAGATGTCACTTCACACCCACTAGAATGGCTCTAATAAAAAGACAATAATAATTGTTGAAGATGTAGGGAAATGGAAACCCTCATATTACTGGTGGGGATGTAAAATGGTGCAACCACTTTGGACAAGAGTTTGATAATTTCTCAAAAAATTAAACTGAGAATTCTGGTTATTCCATTCCTACCCAAGAGATATTAAACATGTGACAAAGGCCCGCAGCAGCATTGTTCATAGTAACCGAAAAGTGGAAACAATCCAAATGTGCAAATGACCATAGATGAATGACAACTAAAATGATATCTATCCATATCATGGAATATATCTGGACAAAAAAAAGAACTAAAAGTATTGATAAATGTTATCACGTGGATGAATCTCAAAAACATGACGTTAACAAAGGGAAAGAAGCCAGATACAAAACGCCAAATAGTGTAGAAAGTCAAGAGCAGACAAACAAACCTCTTGTAGAAGACAGATTAGTGGCAGCCTAGGGAAGAGGTAGTGAGCACCACGTTTCTTTTGGAGGTAGTAGAAATACTTTAAAATGGGATGGCACTAATGCACGAATATACTAAATACACTATTTCGTAATGCACGAAATATACTAAAAACCTCTGAACTACACACTTAAAAAACAGGTGAACTTTATGGTGTGCAAATGATCTCAATGTCAAGAGGCGCCTTTAACGACGGCTGGTGGTAAACCAGTATTTCTCTTCCATCCTATCTCAGAAACCATATTCCATACACATGAAGACAATGGGTGGCAGGATCACTCAGCCCCAAGTCTGGTTTATGAGGACTTAGGACGCAGAGCGCACACCCCTGCAGCACGGCTTTTTAAAACCTAAAAATCTTTTAAATTGCTTCGGGAGTGGGGGCTGATGGCAAAGGCATTTATAACGCAAAGGGGCCCACAGTTCTGCACAAAGTTTAGCTGCACAGGTTTAGCCATCTGCACAGGTTTAGCGTCCGCAGCCCACTCCCACGGGTCATCCCCATCAAAAACTTCTGCAGACACACCTACACCTAGCATGAGCCCAGGGGATTCACAGCGCGCCCAGCCAGCCCGAATTAGAAATGGGGGCTACAACTTCCACCAATGCCTCATAACACCCCTGTCCCGCCATCCCTCGCCCCGCAGCCCGGGGGTGGGAACCAGACGGCCCGTACCTTCACCCCGCCAGGCGCGGGCACCTCGCAGCCCCGCCGCCAGCCTTCGCGCCTTCTCCAGCGCGCTGCGCCTCCCCGAGAGCCGCGGGCGGGGGCGGGGCCGCCCTCACCCAATCCCCGGCCGGCGGGCGGGAAGGGCCGGGTCCTCGCGGCTCCCGGAGGCGCTCCGGGGCCGGGATCCGCGCTGGCGGGGGAGCGGGTGACCGCTCTCTCCGCGCCCACTCCCAAGCCGCATCCCCTCTATGCCCTCTGCCTAACCACCCCACACCCCAAAAATAACGTTTGCGGATTGTTGAGATTACTGGCTCTTTGGGCACCCGAGGGGCGTCTCTCCGGGGTGGGAGGGGCGCGCGCGCGGCGCTCGGGGCGCACGGACGGCAGCGCTGGGCCCCGACCCGCGGGGGGCGGCGGGGGAGCGGGCGCGGCCCGGGGTCGCGGCGGGTCAGCACGTGCGGCTGCCGCGCCTTCTCCACGCGGGCGCCCGCGGGCCCGCCCCCGCCGAGGCGCTGACCCCGTCGCCCCCGGATCTGGGCGGGAGGTGGCGGGGCGGGGAGGCGCCAGCCGCGGAGGGGAGGGGAGGGGAGGGGAGGGGAGGGGAGGGGCGCCGGGGGTGGGCGCGCGCGGTCGGCCCCCGTCCGTCGTGGCGCCGCCGGGACACTCGGCCGCCTCCGCGCCGTCCTCTCGCCCCGGCGTGCGCGCAGGGCTGTGGGGCTTCCGCGGGCCCGGCCTCCCCCACCTCGGGAGGAAAAGGCAGGGAGAGCCCCCGGCGCCCCGGGGGAAGCGCGGCGTCCCGGGCCCGGCCGGCGCTGAGGACGAGCCCGGGCGGGGCCCCGGAGCGTCGTGCCTGTCGCCGCTCGTGTCCGGAGCGGCGGCCCGCGCCCGCCCGCTCGGCGCCCCGGGCCCCCCCCCGGGCCGTGGGGACTCCACCCTGCCGTCGCGGGGCCTCGCCGCGGCCTCCAGCGCCCCAGCCCCGGGGAATGCAGTGGCCCCCGGCCCCTGGCGCCTCTCCGTGTCTGGGCTGGGCCTCCTCGCTCGCCTGCTCCGCGGCCGCGACGCTCCTCAGCCGCGCCGGCCGGGCCCCCCTCATGGCGGCCAAGTGGTTCAAGGAGTTCCCCCTGAACCTGAAGACCGTGTCCGAGCGGGCCAAGCCCAGCGGCGGCGCAGGTGGCAAACTGCGCAAGAACTCGGAGGCGGGCGGCGCGGGACCCGCCCCGGGCAAGGGCCGCAAGAACTCGGCGGCCGAGCTGGGGAGCGGCAGGGCTGGCGCCGGCGCCCCCAAGGACAGCCGGCTGTCCCGGGACAGCCTGCAGGGCCTGATCCAGGCCGCCGCGGGCAAGGGCCGCAAGAACTCCCGGGTCACCGAGGAGGAGCCCCACCGGGGCGCGGCCAAGATCTCGGGCTGCAGCACCTACATCAACAGGCTCATCAAGGTGGACACTCAGGAGAAGAACGGGAAGAACAATTACCCCAGCAGCAGCAGCAGCAGTAGCAGCAGCAGCAGCAGCAGCTCCTCCTCGGCGTCTTCTTCCCCTTCCTCCCTGGGCCCCGAACTGGACAAGGGCAAAATTATTAAGCAGCAGGACACGGTAAGAATGCAGCCCCCGTGGACACCTCTCTCCCACAGAAAGCACAAGGTGGAAGGGAGCGGAGCCAGCCTGCTAAACCCCAGGTTCTTTACCTCGGAGAAGGGGAGGATGTGTGTCCCCCGCCCCCAACATCTGGTGACTCCTAAGTGAGCGTTTAAAATCATTAGGGTTTTTTCCCTTCTAATGGTGAAAAATCCTCATTTTTAGGAGTGGGGGATTTTGCAGAAATGTATTATTCATCTAATTTTGTTAATAGTTTTGAGGCGTAATTGAATGAGATATGCCTGCTTTGTTAAAGCTGAGCCCCTTATAGATGTGGTTTGTTTTAATTTTGGCAGCCAGGGAGATTGCAAAGCTAGACTTGGATGTAGCTTATATGCTTCTTGAGCATAAGAAATGGTAACCTCTGAACTGTGTAAATGTGGATTTCTACACACTAGAGTATGAGTTGCCCATCCGCCCCCCTTCTCTGCTACTTTTGAAGTTCTACCTGCAAGGGAATTCTCAGAACTTCACTTGCACCCCAAGATTACAGCCCTTCCATTCATTCCATGAACATTTGCTGTGCAGCAGCCACATAGGGGGCAAAGACCCTAGAGGTTGGGAGCCCGGGGGAGGTGTAGAATAGGACAAGGAAATGCCCTTAAGGAAATTACAGATCTGGAGAGAAGAAGGTGTTTCCTGCTTCTTACTCACCGGAGGCTTTCTGGGTGCTGTCCAACATGAGGTAGCTAATAAGAAAAAGAGCGTGACTATGTGAAGAGACTCACTTCATTCTTACGGAGAAGAGTTGGGGTTTTGTTGTCTAGTTTTGTTTTTAATCCTCTGTGTGAAAAGCGCTCAAATGGGGCTTCCAGTCTCCTGCCCAGGACCTATATCCTGACATAGGAACTTTAATTTGGTCCTGCCCAGGCTTCAACCATGCTGCCCACCTGGATCAAGTCCAGAGCCCATACACAAACCACATGTGTCTGTTCTTTCCTCCATTCTTTCCCCACATATTACAGTGTGTCTCCCCTGGGCAGGCACTGGGGGAGAGCTGTGGGAAGATGGCAGGGACCAACTCATCCAGTTATTAGTCAGTGGACCAGTGACCAACACATTGTAAGCGCCATCCTCTTCCTGACTGTACCTTGGGGTATTGTACGTACACGTGGTGGGCAGTCAGGAGGAATAAGGGGGTGGTGTTTGCTGCCCTGTGCAGTGACTGCTTATTTGCATGGTTGCTCCCTCCAGATGTCTGAGGGTTCTTAAGCCATCTCTTCCAGGCCATCTCTGCTCCTCACTTCTCCCTCATCTGAAGTCTTGCTGCCAGCTCCAGTGGTACTCCTCCATGAACTCTTTGGAGAATGTAATCATTGTGGAGCAGGACCGGGGAGAAAGGTCCCCTAAACCTATTTTATCCCCCAGCTGCTACAAAACAAGTATTTCATACACACCACCTTTCCATTTTTGGAACGATGGATGCTTTCTGACACAAAGATCTATCAAAACTATCTGATGATAGGAGAATCCGTCTGGCATGAATTATTGGACCTAGAACTCCCACAATACTGTTTAGTGCTTTTTCTTAGGTTTCTTATTATGAAGCCTGTTTTTAGAGCTGTTAAACAGATTCCTTGAGGACAGGAAGCAGTTCTTGGGTTTATTCAGATTCTCTTGCAATGCCTGGCCAGAGCTGGTAGATGTTCAGAGGTCACTGGGTGGTTGACTGGCTTACCATGGCTGTCTTGCTGCTCTGGTTGACATTCAAAAGTCACAGGGCAGGGCCTCCCCAGTGGCGCAGCGTCTGAGCGCTGGATTGTGAAGCTACCTGCAGCCTCTGCAGCGCCGGTTCAATCCCTGGCTGCCAGGCGAGGGTCCCACATGGCGCGACAGACCTCTCCTGCCCGCTGCTCCCCTCAGCAGTGTACTTCGTCAGTCTGCCTGTTCTGCTCTCTCCTCTGGCTCTGGTGAATTCTCTCACCCTCCCGCGCTTCTGACTTTACCCAGTACTTGTATAAATAAATTAATTAATTAAAAAAAAAAAGTCACAGGGCAGTCATCTTTTTATACTCTAAAGACATAGATACCCTCCACTACCCACCCCTGTCAACACCTTTTTTTGTTCGTTTTTGCCTGGGGAGACAAAGAGAGGTCAGCTGAACCGTGGGGTAAGTATTAGTTTAGATGAACTGTGGCCAATCAGTTATACTACCAAATCAGATGTTTGTTCAGCTGGATGAAGACCATGATCAATCACAAAGGCTAACTAGACCTGGTTGGCGAGCTTGACCTCAGATCTGCAGGAGGACTTCAGTAGACATTTTGCTACCTTCTCCATTTGGATTATGATAACCCTTAGCAACTCTCTCCTCTCTGGTTCTTTCATAGGTCATCATCCTGGAAGACTATGCTGACCCTTATGATGCCAAACGGACAAAAGGTCAAAGGGATGCAGAGAGAGTAGGAGAGAATGACGGTTATATGGAGCCCTATGATGCCCAGCAAATGATAACAGGTTTGTAACCAGGACTGCTTCACAGGGATGGAACTCTCACACCTGCTTGGAGTGTGGTAAGATTGTAGTAGTATTTCAGGACGAGGGATGAAGCAGTTTAACCAGATCCCACTGACTGGAAGAAAGAAATTAGACCCAAAACAAGGTCACAAAACAAGACCCAAAACACGCTAGTCAACTTCCTTAATGGTTTTGTATTCTTTCATTTTAAATGTGCACTGGTCCTGTGTTTTCAATTCTATGCAAGATGACACTTGTATGTTTACAGATCTGCCCAGAATGTGATCTTACTTTTAAGATGATTTATGTACATTTCTTGGCCACTTTCAAAGCTTTGACATTCATAATGAGAGTCTTAAATCTGTACCAAGGGACTAATGCACACTGAAAAGATTTTAAGATGTAAGAGATGCAAACATGACGTGACCCTCTATTAAAGTAGGCTGATTTCTCAACAAGCTCTACAACATTAGAGCAAAACATTTAATTACCAGGGAATGATTACTGATCGCTGGCAGGAGCTAAGCTATTCAAGGCAAACATCCTAAAACCAAGACCAACTTATCCTGTAACTTCATGTCAGACAGTTCCAACTTCTGAGCTAAGCAATCACTGTCACTTTAGGGGTCAAACTTTTCCTTTTTATCCATAATTCTCTTAAGTTGGTGTAAATGGTATTTCTAAATAACTAGTTTAAATGATTTACTTGTGACTTTTAGAGTGAGTTAGTCATTCGCCTAATTTTCCTTAAACTTTTTTGGATTCATATGAAAAAAGCTGAGTGTTGACTCCCTGGAGCCTTGCTGGAGCGTCCTGGGTTTCGTGCCTGGGAAAGGGACCACTGATTGTACATGAAAGGCCTTGTTTCTCCTGCTTAAAAACAGATTGAGAGGCTGTCCAGCTTAGGCTCCAGGAGCATAGTCTCAGAAGAGTTGAGCAGGGCAGCACCCTGGAAGGGTTGAGACAGGCTTTAGAATGAAAACGAGCTGCAACAGGAAAGCATTGCTCTGTTTCCTGCTTCTCTGCTTACAGAGATAAGGCCTGCATTTGGGGAGGGTGTACCCTGGCCAGGCTGTGACCCTGAAGGTCACTGGACTGTGACCTCTCATGAAATCTGTGAATGAAAGGAAGTGAAAATGAACTTAGTCAGAATTTTTAAAAATATCGGAGACTTGAAAGGAATAAGGGGAAAGTTTTACATACAGTTGAAGAAGAAGGTTTTCTGAAACAAAAAAAATCCATTTTGATTGCTATTTCTCTGTCCTTCAGTTTTTATTCCTCTCTTTCTCTTTAAACGTCTAAGATGTTTATTTCTGGAGTCACACTGATAAGAGGAAAGTGCTATGCTTTTCAAAAATGAGTATATTTTTATTTTTCCCGTATAATTCCCACAGAACTCTGTATCCCTGGACACTGCAATACTTTCTGTTCCCTGTTACAGAGTAAATATCAAGACCACAGAGAGTCTGACTTCCCTATGCTCACAGACCTTTTTAGAGCCAGGAGAAATTAGAGCCCACTCCCTCACCAGAGTTCTCAGGGCACATTTGAAGTGATGTATCCAAAAGCACTTTAAATTTCACTCCTCAGTAAGGCATCTTTCCACCCAGACTCATAAAGAAAGTTGTATTTGAAAGTTAAAATTATCTAACATGATATAATAATGGTGGTGGTTAGCATTGAATATTTGAGTATTTATTAAGTTCCAGGTTCTTTGTCAGCCATTCATGGAAATAAATTCATTCAATAATGCAAAATTAATATATTCCATGAGAGAATAAATGAAAATGTATTAAAAATTTAAATTGCTCACTTTTTGAAGTTCCAGATTTTTTTTTTGCCCATTAAAAAAATTTTATATTGGTGACTTTTAAAGTTACTACATTGAAAATACATGTCACAGAGCACTCAATCAGTGTAGAAAATATACAACACATAGGTTACACAGCTGGACAGAATAACAGGAAGTGAGTTTATCGGAAACTGGAAATAAAAGATTTGCTGCTGGGTTGGTTTTTTGGTTGGGGTTTTTTTTTTTTTTTTTTTTTTTTTTTTGCTTGGTTGTAAAAACCAAGTTCAGAAATGTCCCATATTTCTTGAGAAATGTTAGGGATTATTTTTTAATTTGCTTCAGCTTTGTGCAGATGGGGAAAATAGCTAACAATATGATTTAACTGTAGAACACCCAAATTCTGTATGGCCATTTTATTTTATTTTTATATTTTTTATGACATTATTTTACATTCTTGTTTTTTTTCCCCACCGTATAGGATTTCTCCCCTCAGTGTGGTCCCCACAGCTCTCCCACCACCAAAGCACCTACAGTCCTCCACCACAATCCATGGTGCTCCCCTCCCCCTTCCCTGCCTCTCTCCTCCTGGATACCTCAGATCTATAGTCAGCTTTTCCTTTGTTTGGTTTCCCTATATTCCACCTGTAAGTGAAAATCACCCCGTATTTGTCTTTCTCCCTGAGTATGGCTGTTTTAACACAAGTGAAGCAGGGTGGCTTGTCAGCTCTAATAATTCCTGGAGTACAAAAATCACTGCTCATGATACTATTTCATAACATGCTACTCATATTTCTGCAGCGTTTACTTACTGTGTACCGGTCCTGCGCTGGGCTCAGCATACAAGGGTCATGGCCCATGTCTTTATGGAACCTGACAGCAATAGGGAAGAAAATGTGTCAGTGGAAAGTGTGGTGAGTGCCATGAGGTGGAGGAGCCACCATCTGCATCAGGGAACAAAGGAAGAAGCAGAAACTAAGAGGCTTTTCTTATTGTGGTGACTAAATACCTGGGACCCAAGCTCCCTGGATCCACCTACCCTCCACCCCCCACCCTCACCACCACCAAAACTTTGCACTTAACTTTTTGAAGCTAAGAATTTATGAACATACAAATACAGTCTCACCTAGATTTATCCAGAGTATTATTCATGCAAAGATATGAATACAAGACAATTGAAGCACCAGCCTCTTTGTTGTTCTGTTAAATGAGAACATTTTAGCCAAATTTGCAGAAACGTACTACGTACGTTAGCATACTAAGTCTTAGCCACCATATTACAAGGAGCATGGGAATCCCTTCCCCTGCTGGGGTCTTACAGGTTGAGCGCTCACAAGCGACAAGGCACTTAGTCACCTTGCAAAAGGCTTGGGTGCTGCTGAAGTCTGTTTTACAGTGGAAGGAAGCAAGGTCAGAAGCCCCTGGAGCTCCTCCTAACAAGGCAGCAGGTGGTAGAGGCAGCAGGTCAGTCGGCCGCCTTTAGTTTCAGTCCTGAGCTCCAGGCTCAGGTGGTTTTTAGAATTTAATTTTTGCTTCCAAAAGTTTTGTTGGTTTGTGTAAATAGTCAAAATCTAAAGGAGAACCACATTGTTTGGGTCTCCATTTAAATACATATCTACTGTGGAAGAAATGGAAGACTTAAGATGTATTTTCTATACTTTCCTTGTTAACCTCAATTTTAGGGCTTCTGAACTATATCTGCTTTTGTTCAGATATATACATTTATCTGATAAGAGAATATTAAGTAAATTTAAAAATTAAGTAAATTTAAATTAAAAGCTTGAACACTGATAAAGTGCATAAAGCTACCTGATAGCCCTATTTCTGATCCTAGTGGGAAAGAGCCTTATGAGACTGAGTTTAGTGTTTTGAAATGGATTGGAGGGGAAAGGTGCATCATAGAAATTTCCATAAACATTTTACATGAAATCTTTGGGTATGGTGTGATAAAGCATGTACAAAGCAAGGGATGATAGTGTGGCCTGTGAGTTCGTCCTTCTGCCAGGCCTCAGTTGATCCACCTGTGAAATTGGATAACGCCTCATTGCATTACGAGGTTTCAAGAGATGTTGGGTATAACACAGCATCGTCCAATAAACATAGCCATTACATAGACTCTTCAGAGCTAGAATTCCATTTTCAAGAAGAATTCTGGACAAGTATAGAAGCTTATCAGTTGCTAACTCTTATTAATTTAGTACAAGAAAGTCTGTGTCATTTGCTAGTTTTTGACATACATGGGTATAATTATCTCCTGCCAGAGCTGGGGACTGGTTTCATGTAACAAGTGGCACCCTGTAACTGGTGTGGTCAGCCCCTGCTGCAGATGGGTGTTTATCTGCACCCGTTGGCCACATTCTGTTGTCCGCCGTGGTAAATGGCCTCTATCGGCAGAGCCAGGGCGTAGCTTCCTCTCGCCATTTCCTCCTTCTCAGGCTGGTTTCCTCTCGGAGCCAGCTCTGCACGTCAGGGGCTATTCTCCCTGCAGGAAGGGTCGGCTCGCAGACCCACGATTGTTTCTGTTTCTATGGTGCCTCAGGTTGGGGGCAGCCAGGTGTTGGAATGGACTGGAAGGTTACTCCCCTTGAAGGGTGGAGGGGCCCTGCACTCAAGCCCTTTTTTCCCCTAATTAAACATTGTTTAAAAACCTGATAATACTTTGCCTAATCCCAGGACCATCCTGGGACGGAACATTCTCACTTGCACGCTTTCCAGTACTTTCCCCAGAGCCTGGGTGCGCAAAGTCTGTCTAAAATAGAGGGAATCCAGGGCCTCCTCTCAAAAGTAAAAATTCTAACGTGTAATAATATGAACTAAGGATCCTAATCACTAAATTATCGAACTTGCCGTGTGAGTGGAACTCCAGGTTGGAATCAACTCTTGCTCTGTTTAATTCATCTAAGCAGAATTGAGGCAGGACCTTGGGAAAGCTTTCCCCAGCCTGTGCCAGTCTAAACTTGAGGATGAATTCAGGTGCTGATCAGAAGCCTAAAGTTTCTGACTTTACCCCCTTTGAGTTCCTTTGTGTTTTATCATCCCTTCTCCTGGGTGTAGAAAATTTTTCTTGTAGGAACTTTCTCTTTTAAAAGTTCCAGCTATTTCTTAACCAAGAGCAGAGTGCTTTTGCTTCTTGTTTTCCATAACTTCACGGAGAATAAGCAATGAATAAAAGTGTGGGATTAAAAGTTGGGAGATTCAGACTGGAGAGTCAACTCAGCCACCAGCTCCTGGTGTGACCTTGTATAACCCCAGCCCCTGTGGTTCCTGTCCTTGGGGCAGAGGAGGGCTCCTCAGGTGCTCCTATCTGATGTGGATGTTTTAGGTGCAGGGAGAACCCTTCTCCTTGGGGTGGGACTAGCCCTGGAGAGCAGGAGGGACTGAGCTGGGGAACCCAGGAACCCAAGAGGTGTAGAAGTGCCTCTCAGTCTTAGCTTCTCATTAGAATCACCGGAGGTCCTCTTGAGACTAACTCTTAGGCTGTACCCCAGAGCAATTAAGTCAGGATCCCTGGTGATGGGACCCAGGGGTCAGATGATCTTAATAAATTTATAGAATGGAAGCCAGCTGCAGTCAGGGGCCCCTACCTTGCAAAGTTAAAACCTCACCCTATAAATAAATTTTGCCCATTTGAATTCCTGATTTTAATCATTTTCCCTTGAATGTTTCATTTGTTGTCCTGTCCTTGTTATAGGAACCTTAGTCAATGACACCTCTCCACAGAGTGTCACCATGCCCATTCAAGTCATCTGGGAAAGTCCTGCTTTCCTTTATTTCTATGGAATTTCAGTCTCTGACCCTCTCTCTTCCCGTGCATCTGACTACCCCTTCTCTGTCTTTGCTGGCACCTCTTCTTCCATTCTCCCCTGCCGAAGGAGTCCCAGGTTCTGCCTTTGATCCTCATTCCTTTTCCACTGCCCTCCTTTTCTCTGTGGTTGCTTTCACTTTTACAACACTAACAGCTCCCCATTTGTGAGTAACTCCTTGACTTGCCTCTCTGACCTTCATTTCTCTGCTGAGCCTCAGATCCACATTGTCACCTGCCTGGTGAAGTTCCAGAGCCCCTCCTCCCTCTCCTCCCACCCATCCTTCCAACCATTATCTAGCACAACTCTTTGTCCCGCAAAGATCAGCAAAGCATGGGGTCTCTTGCCCTGACAGTCATCACCAAATTGGAAATACAGATACATCAATAAATAACTCCATACAATGAGAGAAGTAGAAGGTGAAAGTGGGTGGGCGCAGCAGTGTTCTGGGGGAGGCGGGGTGTTGCAGGGAAGGTGGGCAGAAGAGAGGAGGAGATGCCAGGTTAGATTTCAGAGGCTACGAAGATCACCTGGACACGGGTGGGGGTAAGTCAGTTAATGCCTGAGGAACTTGTACTATTTGGTTGGGGCAAAGAATTGGATGGTGGGATGGGGGCAGGAGCAGGGTGGTATTGAGAGACAGGTTCGGAGAGGGAGACAGTGGTCTGGTTATAGGAGGCATCCCATGCCAGATTGAGCAGTTTGAACTTTGTAAGTGGACGGTTGAGAGCTTAGGAGGTGTTAAATGATGAGATGAGATGCTTGCGTTTGGAAAGGTCTCCCTTGGCTGACCAGGCTAAGGGACTGAAGACTCCCTGATGGGCATTTAGAGGAAGCACAGCGTGATATTCTGTGTGTATGACCAGCTCTAGTGGTTTTGACTCCACCAACTGGGGCCTCTAGACCCCAAAATGGTCAATCCCCAGACATTGCCGATTGCTTCCCACTGTGGCTGGCTGGCTCGCAGCCGGGGGTTGGTGGATTTGCATCCATTTCTATGCTTCAGTTCAGACCATACCTCTGTGACTTACCCCATCCATACACTGTGGTCAGTATTACCTGTTCAAACACTTCAGTTTCTGCAAGCACACAGAGCAATCTAAACTTGTTACCTTTGCTTCTAAAATGTCTACACTTGCTGCCTGTCCTCCTGCTGTTCTAGCTGCTGGCCCCACTCTCTCTCTTCTCCTCGCCTTCTGTCTTTTAAACTTCTCTCTCCCCTTATGGAAGCAAGCCCTTGACGTCTCCCTCCTCCGTATCTCAGCTCATGAACTTCCTCCACTGGAAATGACCTTCTCTGTCAAAGTCAGTCACTTCATTTCTCCTCCACGTGGAGTCACTGAGTGTCATGGTGAGAGAGTGGGTGTCAAACCCAGCTTCCTCCTCTTGAGTCCAGAATCCAGGTTTGAACCATTTCCTTAAACTCTGTGCTTGGGTTTGCCCTTGGGTGGTGTCAGGGAAATAATGGTGCTTCCTTGCCCTGTGGTTCTGACCATCTCAGGGTGCTTGACACATCGTGCACCATCGCTGGATGTCAGTTGTTAAGTTAGTTTTACTTTGATTTGTCCTGTAGTTATTAGCCTGTTATGTGTTGTTTTTGGAATGTGTCTGGCTTCCCAGTTGTATTGAAACCCCTAGAAGTCAAGGACTTTGTCTGATGCACATGAACGCTTTCCCTCATATGCATAATGCTCTCCATACAGGTAAAATGCAGTTCTTCTTTACTGAAATACTCTTAGCTTCCTGACAGAACTACTCTTAGCTTCCAAGCAGAACTATTCTCAGAGCAGACATCGGGACTGGAACCTGGAACAGGTTGCCTGGCAGCCATTTCTCTACTCAGCCTGGTCAAGTTGCCCCCAGAAGCGTGCCTGTCTCCAGATGGGAGTCCTCATCCTATGACTTGACCCCATTATCTGGCTCTGGAAACTGGATGGAAGAAGTTGCAGACCCTATTCTCTTGAGAATTCTTTGCAGCAGAGTCCTCAAGGAACAATATGGGCTGCCTTCGACTAGACGCTCATCAGAGGTGAAGGCTGGTTGGGTTAATTACTGGGCCTCTGTGGCACCTTTTCTCTCAAGCGTTTGATGGTGTGTGTCTTTCAGAGATCAGGCGACGAGGTTCCAAAGACCCCTTGGTGAAGGCCCTCCAGCTGCTCGACAGTCCCTGCGAGTCAGGGGAGAACGGCATGAAATCAGACACACTGGCCAAGAGACGAAGCTCCAAGGACCTACTGGGGAAGCCTCCCCAGCTGTACGACACTCCCTACGAGCCTGCAGAAGGAGGCCCCCGGACGGAGGGGAAGGCCTGGCCCCCGGAGGGACACAGCCGGCTGCCTGAGAACGACGAGCGGCCAGCGGCTGAGTACGAGCAACCCTGGGAATGGAAAAAGGAGCAGATCGTGAGGGCTCTGTCAGGTGAGGCCTGGGGTAGCCCATCTGCTGCCACTCACTGCCCTGCTGAGAACCCTCTGGCCCCCTGCATGCTGGGCTTTTCAGCCAGGGCTATTTTCTCCATGTTCCTCAACCTCCAGTCTTTTCCAGGGAATTTGATATGGGGAAATACGAATTTGGCTGTGGTTGGAAGACCAGGGCTGATGCTGAGCCCTAATAGGGCATTTATTTTTTATCCTTCTGCACACCTTTACTTTTCTTTCTCTTCACAGTGTGCCACTGTTTTGGAAATGCCTTAAATGATTATTGAAAAAACTTATCCAGTCACCCCTGAAGCTATGAAATTGGGAGCAGCTTTTTCTAATTCTTACTTAGTGCTACTCCTCAAACCTATTAAAACCCCTATTTATGAAATGGCAGGACTGGATCGAATGGATTACAGGTAGAGCTAGTTGGAAAGCTGGATGAAACTAGCTTTTCTCTTCCTCCCCCACCAAAAAAAAAATCCTAGTAAAGGAATCAATTCTTCAAGTGTGAATTTTTAAAGTAACTTAAGAGTGAGTTGGTAGTAGGTTGTCAAATGTTAAAGATAATTATCCCTCCTGCTTCTCCCAGGCCATGATTTTCCTACTTGGCTTTGCCTTTGATTTAAAAGTTAGGAAATCTTTGCCCTCTAACAGTAAAGGCAAGTTTGCCACTAAAAGGGTGAATAGAGAAAGTAACAGATGCAAAGTTTTGAGTCCATTTTAATTTTTGGTTTTCTCCAAATCTGTTGGGTACCTGCTGTTTTCTCAGTACTTGTGCCGGGTGCTTGCTCATTTTACTTTTTTTTCCTCTTGTCCATTCTCCTTTTTTCCATAAACACCAGTACTCATTTTAGCTCTTTATCTTCTGTCCAGCCTAGATGTCACAGTATCTTTAAGGCACTCTTCAGCAGTTTCTGCCTCTGAGTTGACTTTTCTCTTTATTGTTTCTTAGTGAAAACTGTGCGTTTGGTTTCACAGGATGATACTCTCACTTGCAAGGAATTATTACCTGTGACTATGTTTATTCTTTTATCATTCTAAATATGCTGATGCTAAGAGTATTTTGAAGTCCATGCTATAATATATTGAAGTGGTTTCCGCTTATATTTTAAAACTACTTTTACGCTGATGAACATCTTACAGAAAAAGTGCACGTGTGCAGATGCAGCGTGATCAGATAGCAGAGACAGTGGAGACAGACAGATGGGGTGTTGTGCATCAAGGAGAGGGTATGGCTGCCTTCTGGAGCCAAGACGGCAAGGAGGGTTTGCACGTGTCACCTTGGAGACCTGTGAGATTAAATGGAGCCTTCCTTCCAGTTCAGTTTGAAGGCGCTGAGCGTCCTGCCATCAAGGAGGAGACAGTGAGGCAGCACCACCGACAGAAGAGCTGGACCCAGAAGATCTTGAAGCCAGTGCTCGCTGACCACGCTGAAGGGGAGAGAGTGGACCCAGCCCTGCCCCTGGAGAAGCAGCCGTGAGTCTTCCACGGACACATGCCACAGATGAGGCTTCTTGATAGTCTTGGCTGGGTGGGGCGCCCTGGCCCATTTTACATGATTATTTTTGTTCCTGATACTTGTCTGGGTGGAGCTGATTCATGAAAATTCCTTTCAAAGCCCAGTGTATCTGTGCAGGATGGAAAGGGCGCTGCCTCCCAGGAAGCAGAGTTTAAGTCCACTCTCCTGTACAGAGGGAGAACCTGATGTGACACTGGCACCTCGAGCTAGCTCACTCTTGCGTGCTGATAGGCTTTGTGATCCAGGACTCCCCAAATCCGCTCCTTGTCTATTCTGAATGTAAGGCATTCAGGCTGCCGGAAGCCCATTTTAAATAATACTGTATGGAAGGATGTGCTGTCTGGTTTCTATTCTGACACCAGTATCTCCCATCCCATTTTAGTTGGTACCATGGGGCCATCACGCGTGCTGAGGCTGAGAGTCGACTGCAGCCTTGCAAAGAAGCTGGTTACCTGGTTAGAAATAGCGAGTCGGGGAACAGCAAGTACTCCATTGCACTCAAGTAAGTGTTGAAGCCTCCTGGGCTCACCTGCCTCCACGCAGGAGGAAGTGCTTCTGTCATGGGTGGATGGCCAGACAGACGGCTCACCAGAGGGGTGTGGGCAAAGAAAGCAAGATGCACTTGCTTGGCACGTGAAATGGTCTGATTAGAATGCAGGCTCGGCGATGGGTGAATGCCCCACGGAAACACCATTTCCCGTCACCTCTACTCTTTGGAGTAGCGTGTCCTCTTTGAGGTGTGACACTCGGGAAAGGACAATGAGGGTCCTGTTTCATTATCACTGTACAGCAGTCACCTCCCACTATCCCATTACCTACTCTAGAGGAAAGTAGGTCCCCTCAGCAGAGAAACAGTTCCTCATAAAGAGGGTAATTTCATTCCTTTATTTCCCTAGCGTTTAGGACTTTAATAAATCAGATCCCTTGATTGTCAAAATGCCAACTGTGATTTTGATACCAGTTTCTTCTGGCAAAGAAGGAAACGCTGACTTGCTCTTCCTCCCACTTCCAAGTGTACACAGAAAATGCAGCCTTGCCCGTTAGGCCTGGTGGATCTTGTATCATGGAAATTCTCGTTGGGCCGCGAGTTCGGTGGTGCTATATTGGAGGATCATTGTCAAGAGCTCTAACAGCATTTCCTTCCTGAGGAAGCTGAGCCCCTGCAGCTGAAACAATCACACTGGAGGGGAAAAGAGGTTGCCGGGGGGAGTGTCGGAGCAATAGGGCTCAAAAATGGGATAGGCCACCAGATATACAATACCAGGAATAGCTTTGCTGTGCTCCTGAAACTGGTGCTCGCGGATTAGATCTTTGAGCCTTCAGTGCCAGCTGTCATTATATACAACCAGGAACAGTCTTTCCAGATGGGGCAGAGGGGAGGAAACAGTTTTTTATTATTATTGTTAATGTGTTCTTTGGGGAGGAAAGACCCTTCAGCCATCATGAAGAGGGTGAACTTAAACTCGCCCTTTGTGGTCTCACACTCTGGCTTGGTACTTTGGGGCCCAGGTGGGACTTGACGTTTTTTTCGTTTTCGGTCCAGTGCCTGATGGTTTCTGTATATTAAGAGGCGAGCAAGTCAAGGAGGATTGAGGGCTGTGGAGCTCCTAAGCACTCGAGTGGAGTGCAGAAAGGATTTCTGTTTGTATATAACACTTAGTTCCAGGAATGGATGGGACTCTGTCTGCCTGTGAACTGGCTGGGATTGTGGTTTGCTGAGGAAGGTGCCCCTGCTTACTCATTCATGTCTCCTCCTTGATTTTTGTCTTGTTTCAGGACTAGTCAAGGATGTGTCCACATTATCGTGGCTCAGACCAAAGACAACAAGTACACACTGAACCAGACAAGTGCTGTGTTTGACAGCATCCCTGAAGTGGTACACTACTACTCCAACGAAAAGCTGCCTTTCAAGGGGGCAGAACACATGACCTTGCTCTACCCCGTGCACAGCAAGCTGCACTAAGGTTTGGCCACTGAATCCCCAGGCCAGGCCTCTCACACCTAAGAGAGGACATCAGCACCCACCCAGCAGCTCAAGACAAGGCTGGACTGTGCCACAATAATTGTAGGAAATGACAGAGACTTCATTTACAAGTCAAAAAGTCTTTGGCCTATAATCCATTCCATGACACCTGGTTACCGACCTGTCTGTTTTCTCTGTGCTACAATGAGAAACCATGATTTCCCTGTTGCCTCCACTCTTTGAAGAAGAGTGTTCTCTTGAAGGTATGAACCTCAGGAAAGGTAAGTCAGGAGCGCAGGAAAATTAAGATTGTCTAAAAATGTGCTCATCGTTAATCTGGAGTCTCTGGTCTTCAAACCAACCAACCCCAAAAAATCACTTTTACAGAAGATGACAGAAAATGATGATGTGGACCAGAAGAGCACTTGATACTGAACCCCTTTTTGGGGAAAAGGATGAGCAGTGGGAAATAAATGGCAGTGAGCACCTTGGAGAAAGCTGTTTTTCCCCTTTTCTCCTTTGAGGTCCTAGTTCAGCTCTGCAGTCCATGAAATTCCTAACTTTAGTGTCTGACAAAAGGATTGTTTTGTTCATCAGCCTTCTAAGGAAGTTCGTATTTTCTGAATCTCCATGAACTTTTTCATCATTTTTCAGCAAATCAGTAAAAGAGCATAAATAGGTAGGAAGTACCCTTGATTTAAGAATCGCCCATATAATTAATATTGGCATTCTTGTTATAGTTCTGAAGTATAGGATAAAATACACAACAAAGCTTTCATTTCTGATTTTTAAATAATCTGAAAATTTACAAAGCTCAATAGTAATAAAAACTGTTTCCTTATTGGATAACTATACAGAACTTTGGACATCCTTTGTTTCATCTTTAGTTTTAGTTGTTATGGAAGCATTTATCATTTGTGTCCCTCAGATGACATTTGTTTTGTAATTTTAGAGTAAATTAAAATATGTACATATATATATATATAGATAGATAGATAGATATAGATGGATGGATAGATAGATAGATCGATCTATAACACCAGGATCTGGTCATGTGAACTAGGTCTCTAAAGTCTGCAGAGTCGCTTATGTTATACAAAGCAGGCTGGTTTCCACTGTATAAAAAGATTTTTTAACAGTTTTGAGGTTTTCTCTACTTTGGCTTAAGAAATTAAATTAATATCATAGTATTATTATCTTTATGACTTATTGTGAACTTATATTGCCAATTTTCTTACTGTGAAAACAAAAGACAAAACTTGGCGATGGCATGCTGTGAGAAGACTCTCCCATGGGTGGCTCTCGTCAAAGCCCCGCAGGGGCGCTGGGTTCTGAGCTTTGGGATTTAGTTCTCCAATTGGTCCAGATGCAGATGTGCTGTCAGCAATGAAAAATTAACTTTTGTAGCTTCTTTTAAATACACATAGAATCATGATTTGGTTGATTTTTTTTAAAGCCAGTATACCTTTCTAGTTATTAATTACCATTTTGCTGTTATAACTTAGGGGTTAGTAAATATTTGCTTCTTTATTCAGTTAAAATCTTAACCAAAGAGTTTTATAGTCTTTGATTCAAAAATTTGAGAGGAACTTCTTCTGACTGGGTCGCAACGATATTATCATTACAGAGTGTTTTGTTTAAGTACTGATTGAACTTTTTTAAAGTGTACTGGTTCTTTAGTGAAGATTTTTTTAAAAAAAAATTAGCATCTATTCCAATTCCATTCAATAAATATTTATTGTCTTCCATATACAAATAATTCATTGTGTTACACTTATTTTTAGTTCAATATTCTAGAGATGAAATCTTGTTTTTTACTTAACCTATTCTACAAAGGAAATATAGCAGTTATCCTAATTTTAATAAATGCTAAAAACGTTATAAAATTTTTCTTGGCACACTAAATGATTTTTGGCTCATTCCCAGCAACTGTGTTGAATATATAATGAAATAACATTTTGAAAGCAGAACTGATACACAAGTGTTTATTGTCTGACACATGCCAGGTATTGTGCTTTCTCTATAGTGTTTTTCTGTGGCAGTCATGCTGTTTTCTTTACATGGTTATAAGTGGAGGAGATGTGGAGGTTATATATAGTCCCGTTACTTCACAGTCATACACAAGCTTAGAAGGAAAAGAAATATAGTAAATTATTAGAAGGGGAGAGGGGTTAAGCAACTATTTTCTTCTTAAGGTTGTGACACAAGCTGACAAAAGCCAGGGAATTCACAGCTGGGTGGTGGCACAAAGTAGCATATGTTCTAGAAACAATTAGGCCCAGCAGGGTGTCCCTAATGGCTTCCTTGTTAAGCCTCCCGCACCGCCAACCTGAAGCCTTGTGACATGTTTCCTCTCTGAGCCCGAGTGCTCGGGCTTTTGTCATTTTGTCTCTGTACAAGTCTTTTCCTGTTGGCTTCATCCTTTTGCGTTAATTCTGTTCCCCAGAATATTTTCTGATTCTTTCTGGAGTGAATAATGAGGTCTTGTAGCAAATATTTGCTCACTTGCCTTAAATGTAGTATCCACTGAGTCTCCTGCATCTGTGTTCTCCTGCATCACACCTTCTTTTAAAAAATGCTCTACTCTAGTTGCTTAATGAGTTTCTTTAGATGGTACATTTCAGATCTATAAGAACAGAGGGTAAATAGATATTTCCATTTGCTTTGCTACCATGGCTATTTCTGTCAAGATGGATTTCAACGTTTAGTCTCCATGAATTGCTGAATTGTTACTCATTTACTGGCCTCTGCCACAGGATGGGGCAGTGTAATCTATAGGGACAGCCAGAAGTTTTGAGATGGGACGATTGTATTAATTTTTTCACTGAATTTATTTCAATATGTTATTACCCTGTAGCCAGCCATTGTTACTAAAACTTAATTCGGAACAACTGAGCATCTGTGAAATTCTGCAGTTGCTTTTTAAATGAGGGTAGCCTTTCTGGTCTATTAAAATCCCCTTTTTTAGTCAAAGTTTAGTGCCTCATTTTTCTTCATTCTGGGAGGCAGGGGAACCAAGATACCTGGATTTCATTTCTCTACATTCTTTTAGTAGTTAGCAGAATTTCTTTGAAACCTTTCTCAGATGGCTCTCCTTCATTAGTTGTCTCTCTCCGACTTTCCCTAATCAGCACTATTTTGGCTTTATGATCTTTTTAGAATTACTCTTCTTTATTCTTATCTCTAATTTTTGTTCCTCATTAACTTGGGCTTAGAAAAACTTGGCCTGCAGTGGAGCTGCCTTAATTTCTGACCCTGTAGGAAGAAGACGGTGTGCTACTGCCATCTAGTGGAAAAAGAGCAAACTGCTGTGGGAAGCAGGCAGAGCTTTAGGGTAGGGCTTTCTAAAGGATTTCTGATACAGCCCAAGGGGGTGGGGGATGACACAGCAGTTGCCATCTTGAAATCTGCCCTTTCCTCAGAAAGGGTAGTTGGCAATCTTAATACAATTCTCTTCACGAGGCCCTGGATTACGGCTGGATCACGTAGTTTAGAATCTTAAATTATAATTTGATAAACATGCTGGTAGCAGATCACTGGGGCATTGTAGTGCCATCAAAGCACGGAGCAGATTCTCTGTGGATCCAGGCAGATGAGTAAAGGAGAGTCCTGGAGCCCTCAGTGGCTTTTTCAGGCTTTTAACGATGCTTCTACACCATTTGCAATGACGCAACCAGGTGTGGGCAGGCAGCGGGGCCTGGGAGCCAGGAGGCTGGCAGCCTCTTTACCCCCGGTGAATCTTCACTCTTTCTGGGCTCTCTGGCATTCTCTTGTGGTCTCCACTGGTCTCTACTGCACTCTGCCCCACGGTCCTCTGTCTCCTCCATCCTCTGCTGCTGCCCTTACATGCTCGGCCTCCAGAATCAGGTGCTCCCACTCACACACGCCCACAGCGCTCTCCAGGTGCCGCCATCAGGTGCGCATGTAAGACCACAGGTGTCCATCATTGATGCTAATGGTGGGAGGGTGGGAAAAACCAGATCACTTCCACTTACCCTACAGGCAGGCGTCTCATTTGCCAATTTCTTAACCAATTATTTTTGTCGGGGGACTTTAATATCTTAATTGTCAACTAATATGTTTTAACTTCTGAAAATATTTGAAGATTGTATGTAATAAAGGTGCCTATCTTTTGTGCTTTAATAATTTAAATTCTTCCAGAAAGGTTTTATAAAATTTCTGGATGTATTGCAGTAGCCAATATAGGCTGAAGATGGTTTACTCTAAAATGTAAATTTAAATAAATATTATTCCAAGAAAACCAGTGTTTTTGTTTGATTCAGTGAGTTTTGAGAATCACCTCCCTCCTGTGGCAACAGCAATAGCAGAAGTCAGACGTTTCATTCACTTGAAATCCAAGCCACAAGGAGCTGTCCCCTCACACCTGTGAGCATCAAAAAGCCTGGAAGCAATATGTGCTGGCCAAGGCGCCACGAAAGAGCAGCTCTCGCTCCCTCGCCGCTGGTGGGAATGTAAGTGGATGCAGCCCTTAACAGTTTGGTGATTCCTTTAAAACTATAAATGGAAATGCCACATGACCCAGCAATGCCTCTGTTAGATATTTAGCAAAGAATGTGAAAACACTATAAATCGAAAAGCTCTGCACCCTGTTCTTCACAGCAGCACTGTTCACAACAGCCAGCACACGAAGATACCCAAGTGCCGCTGACAGTGAGTGGATAAAGAAGTTGTAGTCTAGAGGCTCAGTAGGAATACTCAGCTACTGAAAAGGAGGAAATCTTGCCTTTTGTGCAAACATGGCTAGGACTTGTGATTATGCTAAGCGAAATAAGAAAGAAAATAACAAATCACAACACAACTATTCTACTCTGAGAAACCTGGTTTCAGAGGGGACCAGGAGGGGCGGGGGAAGGTAGAAGGCACTAGAACGTGAGGTTGGGGGTTTTAGGTGAGGCATATAGTCAGAGAGCAGAGAAGTGAAGATGCACCCTTGAAAATGTGTATCATTGTATACATCTGGTAAATCAATTTCTTTCTAAGAGTTTTATTTGCAATCACTGTTAAAATAATGTATAAACAAGCCATGACTGAACCAGCGGACTGGATGGATCTTAACTTTTTTCCCCCAAGTCACCTGGGAGTCCTTCTGTCATGTTGCCCTTCCCATATTGCACAGTAACACCATGAACTCTTACTCTTCTGCCTCCTTGACCACCTTCCTGAGCTGAGAATGGTTGTCCCCATCCTCACCCCTGGTCCAGCAGCAGACCTGTGGCTTTGTTCTTTGATCTTTGTGGGTCTAGTACAGATGTCGCCAGCCCAGCCATGGTTGTTGATGCGTTAGTGTGTTGTGAAGCTTGAAATCTAATTTTTTTAAAAACCCTACTGGGTGATGTTGATATCCAGTTGTGGCTAGGACCGAGCACTGGAAGCTATGATTTAGAAATGCTCAAATAAATTCATTGGAATTTCTAAAAGAAGCTAGAGTGCTGGGTCCTTCCATAGCAAACTTTACAATTTCCTTGAACACTTATATAAATTGCCACCAGGTGGTACCGGTTCCTATTGTTTTTTTCTCTGTGTTTAACAGAAAAGGAAGTTTGCTTTGAGAAATATTCCCCTTACCACAAACCCTCCCACTCCCCAATATTTAGAGCAATGGTTTTCAGAATCCAGCTGAATACTGTCGAGAAGAACCCAGGGCTTAGGTGTTGCGTCTTGCATTCTGCCCTGTGAAAGACCAAGATGCCAGTAGTGAGAACAGACGATACACACCAAGTGTGCTGCTAAACAAATGTGTTTCACACCACATTATCTCATTTCAGTCCTTCACAGCTCAGTGAGCCAGGCAGTAGCCTGCTTTTCAGATGAGAACACCAGTACTTGGGACAATCAAATGACCTGTTCTGGGCCGCCTAGTGGCAGAGCCCAGACTGTGGCCCAGTGACTTCCAGAGTGGCTCCTAGTGTCACAGCAGTTCCCACAGAAGGCATATACCTGGCCCTTCACATGCGAAGAGTATAATTGCTCCAACTAGGAGGAGGAGTAATAAGCCAGCTGCTTGGTTTTAGTTAGCAAGTGAAATGAAAATAATTCACAATCAACAAGAAATAAAAGAAACCCTGTTTGTTAAGGATAAATGGACGAAAGATAGTAAATACATTCAGGAGTTACTATTAAACCTTAAAAAGGAAGGAAATGTTAACACATTATATGGATGAACCTCAAAGACACTATGCTAAGTGAAATAAGCCAGTCACAAAAAAGACAATGATTCCACGGATATGAGGTACCCCGAGTAAAGCTCCAGTAGACAGAAGTAGAACAGGGGCTGCCAGGGCCTGGGGCAGGGGCGTGGGGAGTTTAACAACTAGTTCGGTTTGGTGAGATGGAAACCTAGAGGTTGTTCATACAACAGTGTACTTAACACTACTGTCAGGGGCAGGAGGGGTACAGAGCAGGTTTTCTATGATCCAGCAGACGGGGTAAAGGAGGAGTCCTGGAGCCCTCAGTGGCTTTTTAGGCTTTTACTGGGATTTACCAGGTACACAGCAGGCAGGGGTTCTGGGGGGCCAGGAGGATGGCAGTCCTCCCAGCCCCCAGCAAGTCTTCACTCTATCTGGGCTCTCAGGCCTTCTCTTGTGCCCTTTTCTCTGCTGTTTCGTTCGTTCTGCTCTCCTCGTGGTTCTGCTCCGCTGCTCCTGCTGGCGTCCCCCTGACGCTGCCCTTATAAGCCCAATCTCAGCCCAGGTGAATCCCGCCTACATCTGCCCACACCCCACTCCAGGTGCCCGCCATCAGGCATGCATTCAGGACCACAGAGTTCCATCATCTATCCAGATGGTGGGAGGGCAGAAAAGCCTGATACTTTTTTACCTTTCCCTACAACTACTGAACTGTACACTGAGCAATGATTAAGGTGTCAACATTTGTATTGTTTCTTGATCACAATGGAAAAAAGAAAAACAATGTCCTCTTACAGTGAAAACGCATGTAGCAGATTGGACTGCCAGGCTGCCCCGTGTGACCAGTGCTTCTTGGCCATAGGTGAGTCATATGGGCCTGGGCAGGGAGTCCGGCCTGGGCCGATGCCTCTGTCCCCATTGCATCACGGCCCTGTGCGGGTCTGCCAGCCTCATCCGTGGCCTCACCTACACTTCCCTTGCTAAAGTCCTGCAGATTTAAGTGCTGACAACTTGTGATGAAATACCGAGGAGACTCGCTCTGAAACATGCATTATCATTTCCAAAATCCACAGGTAGCACCAGCGCGGCTGCCCCCACATTGTGAATCATGTAGCAGCTTGATTCAAACCTAAAATGCTTCCTATAGGACATGTTTCTTTAATGATTCATATTGCCTTCTGATTCATGTGCATAAATACACAGTATTACTCATTTGATTAATTGAAAGAACAATATATATTACTCAATGTGCATATAAAAGTCAATTATCAAGGTATCATCCAATGTGCTGTTAATGAAAACCAGGGTTATTAAAGGATAGTAAAGAAAGATGTGCTTATATTCATTTTGGACTTTTTTTTTAATGAAGTGTCATTGTTTTACATCCTTGTTAATATTTTGACAGTAGGATTTCTTCCCTCAGGTGTGATCATGGTAGCTGTCCCACCAGCAAAGTCCTCATAGTCCTCCACCATTTGGACCTTTTTAAATAGTAGTTTCACATGAAACATTCCCCCCCCACCAAATCCTTACATTTTAAATGGAGAATAGCGAGGCTTTTTTTTAAAAAAAAAGACTTATTTATTCATGCATACAAGAACTGGGGTACAGACCAAAGGTGTGGGGTTGGGGGAGAGGATTCACCAGAGACAGAGCAGGGGAACAGAACAGGCAGACTGACTGAAATACACTGCTGAGGGGAGCAGCGGGTGAGACAGGAGAGGTCTGCTGCGCCATGTGGGTAGCTCCCTGGCTGGGGACAGCTTCATAATACCGAGACTTAACCCCTTGCACCACCAGGGAGGCCCTATCAAATCTTTTTAAAGATTAATACAAAGAACCAGTCTGTACCCATCAACCAGTTCCAACAGTACTGGCTCATGGCCAATTTTGTTTTATCTACAATCCCCACTTACTTCTTGCACTTTACAATCACATTTTTTCCATACATGGCTGAACGGTTCCAAAATAGAGGGATGATAGCTATTTAATGAAAAACTTTCTTTAATTGTAGAAACAGCCATGCTCGTGAAAAGAAATTTTAAACACGCATAAAAGAAAACAGTAGCAAATGGTCTTTAGTGATTTTTCTAACGATGTTAGAATATCACAAAATTGCTCAATATGGTGGCTTTCCAAGGCAATCCCCCACCCCTCCCAGCCCCAGACCACCCCCTCGCCTCCAGCAGCCGCCTGCTCCCAGGCCCTCTGCCAGGAGCCAGCAGTCCCTCTCCCCGGAACTCTGCTCCCTCATCTTCACTCTCCACAGCCACATTTCCATCCCTTCCTTCCTTCCCTAACTCCCTCAAGCAGATTAGTCACCAGCTCCCAGAAACAGCATTTAATCCTTAATTATGCAGCTCCCTAGGGGCACTGCCAACTCCTTGGGGAAGGAATTGGTTCTTCTTACAGCCCTGAAGTTGGCTCAGCAATTCACTGCCCAGAGAGAACCATGACTTACTGTGTGGTGACCACTCATCCTTTCAAAGGGAGTGGACTTAATAAGGCTTCCATTCTAAAATAACGCACTAATCGAGGATTTCAAGGAAGTTTAACGAAGTGCATACCAAGGAAGTAGCAAGAGAAAACCAGGTCATTTGGCCAGAGTTGACCGGTATGGCCAGTATACATGGCAGGAAGAGTGGTTGATTGGGCTTCTGAGCAAGGATCAGAGCATAAGGAACTAATTGCTGTTTCCCTTTGCAACCATCTTCTCAGACACCCTTCTGTTTGATGAGCCGCATGGGTTCTGACTGCCCCAAGGCCACCCATGGCAACCCCCAGGACTTGGTTCCAGACCACACACTGACAGGCATGACAAAGCAGATGAGAAACTCAGATCCATTTCCCCTCAGGATGTGTGGCCCACTCCCACCCCCTCCACTCCCTTCCCCAAGCCGAGCGAGCGTAAGGGCACCTGGCCTGGGAAAGGAGTAAGGAAAAGAGGCCCATCCAGTGGCTGGGGCCCTGAACCACACCTCGAAGACGAAGAACACCAGTTTTGGAGTCAGGCAGACCAAGGTTTGCGGTCTCCATTAACTAACTTGGGCGTCTTGACCACTAGCTTCACCAATGTGAACCTCAGTTGCCTCATCTGTAAACAGGT